GCTTCTAAACAGCAGCGATATTACTGAATTATATAACATGGGAGTTTTTATTTCTGGATTCACATAATCTTTTTTTTAATAGCAGTGTGCATTTTTAATGAAATTAAAGGACATTCTGGTGGGAAACATGAAATGCCTGATTAACAGTCAAAGTATTTGCAAAATTATTGACCCTGCCTTCTGTACAAAATGTAAGGGGTTAGCAGTATAGAAATACTGTAAACATTGCAATGGCAACAGTCTAATTAACGTTTGAGGAGGCTTTTGCTGAATGGAACCTAGGCAACAATTACAAAAGAATCTTTGCCTATGTTTTGTGCCTTGTGGAACCACTGTTTTAATTCTGCTTCCAGATGATGAATGAAAAGCAATGGTAAAACCAACCTAAATTGTTAAAATGGCAAACTGTGCTGATTGGTTTTAAAATGTAGTATCTCTCGCATAGCATTTTGCTTTTAATTTAATGGTGCATTTTAACTACTAACATTGCTTGTAAATTACCATCGAGAATAAAATCTAAGTTATTCATTATAATAAGAAGTTACTTTTAAAACTTACGAATAATAGTTCCAAGGTTTTTAAGTCACTGTTAGGACTGCAATTTTTAGAAATTAATTTCATACTATTTGCATTTACATTTCTAAAAGTTAGCTAAGTACACACTTTAAAAACTTTCTGTGACTATAAAAGTAACTAAAAATGATAAAACTGTATTGCAAAAGGAGTGAGGTTGCACATGCATGTTACATTCACAATATGCCTAGCTATACCTGTGTTGGGGGAGGAAATAGATTGCAAGACGCAACTACCATAGTTATTTTGAACTTCTATTATATTAAAAATACCTATTTGCAAATGGAATATCTTCATGGAACTTTTGAAGTAACTGTCTGTAGTACTTTGGTGTTGGTGCCATAAAGGGGAAACTTCTCTTGGAGACAGAAGTGGTGATTGATTGATTACAGTTAATAGACGTTTATAGGAGACTATTCACACCAATAGCATTCCAGGTGGATCTTTCCTCCTAATGGTTATAAGTGGACATAGACTTAGTGTCCAATTTGGTCCAGAACCAGTATCAATCAACCCAACCTTTTGTTGATATGCTGTGCAAAGCTTTCTTTCTGGGCAGCATCTGCAATGAGAGTTATGTGATTCCACATGGGTAGTCACCACTGTGTGGTTCTTATGCCACCAGAATGTGTGACAAAAGACAGACTGCTTTACCCCCTTCAGCTTTGTGTGAACTTTGTTGTCAACAATCCTGCAATCTGATAAGCACATTCCCAACTACTTTGGTGGGTATGCAAACCAGCAACACCTTCCTCCTGGATTTGGATCCCATATACAAACCATCCCAAAATTGTTGCAAGATAAATACATTTAAACATGTCATCAGTCAAAATTAAATGGGATGGGGGTAGACAATGCTCCAAAGTCAACTGAGGCTGGAGCTGAATCCTTCTCTGTAGGATTGAAGGACACTCCAGAATAATTTAGGAATTGTGTGGATTACAGAAAACAAAAGGATAAAGAAAACAAAGAAGTTTCACAACATGACAATGCCTAAAGGTTTGTCAGACAAAGAATAAAATATTTTTATAAGAGAAATGGGGAGTGGTGGTTATTTTTCAGTACAGTTTATTAAAACTTTAAAATATATTGTACACTGCTTTGCTAGATCATTTCAACTATAGTGATTTATACATACATTGATTAAATGTACTTGACATTATAATTTGAGCTAGCAGACTTCTTCAAATAAGGCAAGCCTGGAGCATTATGGAAGACAAGGTAGAATTCGGTCACCCAGTTCTGTTATCCCTTTGAGAAGAGCTGACAGAACTATCAAAGTTATTCCTGTGAGCAACATTTTTCTCTTGCATCTTTTCTTGTCTGATCCCCTAGAAAACCTCGTACGTAATAAAATGTTCTTAGAAAAAAAATCACCTCTTCCTTTATTCTGTGCCATCACTCCTATTCATATCAGCAATATTAAAGATGAAAGGAACCATTTACATGTATGCCTATGTGTAAATCACAATGATCCCAGTTCACTTTTCCCTTTGATATGATCAGTTATTTCAGATTGTACTCTGTCTCTTCTCTTTCTCTCTGTTAAAAAAATCCACAGGGATTATTGTTCATGGAAGAGTTACACAACTGTGACTGTAAATACTAATAAGGATTGTAGCCAGATTGCCTATGTAGCCAGACAATATGTCAGCATTTTTTTAGAAAAAGAAGAAAATGCTGACAGTTTATCCAAGTCAAGAATTATTTCCTCAGTTCTATGACCTCTGTTATAATTTTACATATTTCTGACATGCAAGGAATAATAAGTAATATATAAGAAGATCTTCGTATATTGTACTCTATTGTACCATATAACAATTTCAATGGGAAACACTTCCTTGCCTGTTAAGGAAAGAGAGAGACTGGGGTAAAAGAGAACTGAATATGAATGCTCCTTTCAAAAGGGGTATTTTCAGTGCCAATGATGTTTTTATTCATATTGTTAATATAATATTCAATTTTTCATATTTTAGTACCAATGATTCCAAACATAAGGACATATCTGTCAGCATCCCCCTCCCTCTTCTTCTCTTTATTTATGTTCCTGCCAGGGTGCCATTTGACCACTGTTGTGGACTCGGCCATGGCTTCCATGTGGGAAGTGAAGTCTTTTGATGTGGCAGGCCAGCCAGAGCACAAAACTGGGGCTCCTATCAGGACTTCAGTCCTCAAAGAAAGCTTTATCTAAAGCCTATGAACAGCTACTTCAAAGGGCGTTTGATGCTTCCTATTGTGTGGAGCCGTAGGAGGGCAAGGTTTATCTGGTTTTTAATCCCTTGTGTTGATTGTACCTTCCTGTAAAGTGGCTGCAACCACATTATTTTCTATAGTGTTTTATTGCCATAAATGAAAATTAAAAGGGGTTTACGCAGGTATGTTGGTTTTTCTCTCTCTCATGGAGTGTAACCCACTTGTGTCAAGTGAAAAAGCTAGTCATATTATTGAATTCTCAGTCTAGGAACATATCTGGTTAGAAATTGTTCTTCTTTGTAAAAAAAAAAAGCATTTTGTTATCATGTTTACTAAGGAGAGAAGGGATTTACTAGAGTGGAATGCTTTCACAGTTATGGCAAGGAAAGGGATTTTAATTTGAATTGATTATGCGGGCACCTGAATGACAGCAGGATATTAAGAACAACATACAACTATGGTGGAATTATGTAGTGGAGATCCCTTTACATACTCACAAAACTTGAGACATCTTATACCTGTCTTAGGTCTACCCCAGACATGAGGAAACTAAGTCCCAGGGGCCAGATGTGGTTCCCAAGGCATTACCTCAGGCCCTCCTCATTTACCCTGTCTTCTTGGTATAAGGACATGGTTGAGAGCACCTGGAGTGCTCTCAACCGCTGCGTATCCCACCCTGCTCCCGGTCTAAGGAGAGTACAAATGCCTCATCCTTATGTCAGGAGGACTGCTCAAGGAAGGCACATGGTGGCTAAGAGCCCTCCGGAGCACTTTCAGCTGCCATCTGTCTCACCTTTCTCCTGACATTATGCCAAGAGGACAGCCTGAGGATCAGGGGAGGAGGATCCAGGGCAGTTGACACATGTCCCGCCTTCCTCCCGGCGTAAGGATAGGGCAGGCAGCCCCATCCTTATGCTGTGCAGACAACCTGAGGATGACCCAGGCCCTGCCCTGCCCCCTGGTAGCCCCGCCCACTCAGCCGGTGTGTGAACAGCCCACTCCCTGCCCCAAGGCAAAAAAGTTTGCCGATGTCTGGTCTACCCTTTCTCCTCTGGAGAATTAAGATGACAGACTCCAGAATACCATCTTTTCCTGCCCTATTTTATAGATATGATACCCACTGTAAGTTATCTACTTAGGACCTTATCACACTATACTGTTAAAGCACTGTTATTCTGCTTTGACTGCCATGGTTTTCATGCATTTGGAGGGGTGTGTGCATGGTTTAAGGGCAAATTTTTCCCCCAAATGTCTTTACTTTTTAAAGACATCTGTGACATTCAGAGACTTTGGAGAGATGGTCTGGGGCTTCATGGGCCATAAAAAGGGGAATATGAATGGGTTCCTGAGTTAGTAAGTACAACAAAATAGCCCAGTTATATATAAAATGGAAAATAAATAAGTTCAGCCAATAATGTGATGTTGAAACTTATTATACATTTCAAATTCACAGTAATCATAAACAATATTGTATGAGTTTGGTACAGTCAATCTGAAATGGTATCAACGCCATCTGCTCTTGTGTCAAGTTGAACATGAATCCGCAGGCCACAACCAGTTTCAGCCTTACTCAGGTCTTCCTATGGTGGACTGAAATTGTTATATACATCAATATTTGCTGCAAATACATCTATTGAACTTTGCATACAAAAACACATTTAAAGAACACACAGTGTTGATACCATTTCAGAGTGACCACACTATGTCCACAAATGTGTTAAATCATGCAATTTGCAGTGGCATATGTAAAATAGTATTTAAAACAATTGATAAACATAGATACTGTAAATGTCTTGAAGCCATGAACCAAAGTATCAGAGCCATCTGAATCTCTGAAGCATATTACATACTATACTGCAATAATATAGCACCCAATCAATATTTGTACATTATTAAATGTGATAAGAATTGGTGTCTGTTGGTTCAGTTAGAAATGAATAAATGTTTACACGTTGAATTTGTAGCAACGTATAGATCAATAGAACTAATATCTCAAAGCACTACTTTGGCATGTTAGAAGCTTTTTTTTGTGGCATTGAGATTTGCATTACTTGAAAAAACCAACTTGTAGATTTTAAGACCATGTTAAAATCACATCATTTATTCTGTTCTGGTATAAAGATGTTAATGTTCCAAAATATTAAATCACTTGTTATATAATTAATATGGGTCTTTCTTTGCCAGCTTGTCAAATGTTTAACATTGTTAATTTTATTCTTTTGCAACTATCTCAGGACTTCCTTGGAAACAAGAAGCAGCCTTTCAACTGATCCACTCAGGTACAATGTGCTACACATTTTTTAACAAATCAAAAGATGATTTGTACCACACATTTGTGATCTAATTAATTATACAAATTCATTTTGCTATTACTAAAACAAACAAAAACTTGTGGCATATTTTTCAATAGTCAAAGTCAAACACAGGTAAAGAGACAGCAATGCAATTACCATCCACATAAAACATGAGATGGCTGTAACTATGTTTCCTTCCTCCCAACTCCCCTGGCCCCCATTTTTAATATTGTGTGTTGAACTCCTAAACAGTAATTAATTCATATCAGGGGAAAATATTGGTTAAGTATTAAAACAGGAAATATATCACCATCAGTTTCCCATTGACCTACCTGAAAAATTCCAAGTTAGTAGGCCAGGTACATGTGTTGTGTATGAACACTTTATAGACACTATAGCTCTCATAGATTACCTCCTAAATAATGGATGATTAATTGGTGTTTTTTGACTGACACCTTAGTTGTAAAAAAAATAGGAACTGGCTCTTAGGCAGAATATTATCTGAGCTGTCTTGAATCAAAACAACTAAATGAAGGACAACAGTGTAACTTCATAGCATATGTCCACATTAAAAGAAGGCAGCAGAAAATGCTGATAGTTGATTTCTGTCTATTCTCACTGCTTCTTCGATCCAAACTTTCTTTTTTCCAAGCTTCACATGAGGTTAGCTGGCTCTAAGCCACTTCCTTCAAGCTTTTCTCTTTGCCAGCTATTAATATGAGATGCTCGTAGTAGCTGAAAAAAATGGCCGCATTTTTTCACTTTTCTGCAAAATTACTGGAGGATTTTGATCTGGAACCTAATGTGTAGTCTTAACACCAGTCTCTTTCATTATCAGAATAATAAATGCTCTTTATCGTGTATTTCAAGTGTATTCCCTGTAATTCATGGCTTGGCCACTGCTTGAAATACAGATATGTCACACAAAAAATGTCTGTGTATACCAAAAATGCATCTGATGCTAGTACTAGAATTTGTATGAATGTAATTGGCATGCTTTTCCACTGAAATACTTGTTTCTTCTATGTTCGACTGCACTCAGGATATCAGTCCTGAACTAAACATTATTTCCACAATGTCACTGGAACTACTAGCAGTTTTGTGCCATTCTCAAAAGTGCAAGACAGAGTATGGGATGATAGTGTAGACAAAACAAAATAACCATCTGCATAAAAAATTATTCAGATTAGAATAACATTTGCTCTAATCTCTGCCAATGGTGACTGGTTTCCCTGTGAATGTATCATACTGGAGCACATGATGCAGTAAACTAATATAGTTGGCAGCAATTGGAGGAAAACATGACACACAGTGATGATACAGTCTGGTATATGTTGCACAACAAAAGCTTCAGGGATTTAAATGCAGCTAGAGATACACATTGACTTTCAATTCTTGGTGAAAGGGTAATATTAATTTAATGCTAATACAAAATCTAGGAGAGCTTTCACAAATATTTGTCCCTTCATCTTTCAGTCCAGCACTTTATGAAAAATTGCTGCATTCATAGTGGAATTGGAAAGGGGGGGAAAGACTTTGGACTGGTTTTAGTGAAGCTTAGAAAGAGCTGTAATAACTCACATCCTTCCTGCCACACATGCACACACGCCATCTCAAGATAAATATGGCATCTGTCTATCCTATATATAGCAACAAGAGAGAAACAGCAGATTTGAAGGTCAAGAAAATGTGACACAGAAATAATAAATGGCCTGTGTGTTATATACCGATACTGTTGTATCTGTTGAAGGATTTAGTTCTAAAAAGGCTATGGCACAATAGCTTTAAAATATATGTTAACGAGCCCAAAGATCCTGTGTGTTTTTTCCTGCAAAATAACAATGCAAGCACCATTCTGAAATGTTCAGTCCTCTCATGACAGTGTTGAAATGTGTCTGAACTGGGGCACAGTAATTGTTGTTTGATAGGAGACAGGAAGGAAGGGGAGCATCCAAATATTCATTTTCATGCAAGCAGAGCTCCTTTAGGGCAGAAACTGATATCCAAGAAAGGTTTCATTCTTGAAGAGGCAGTGGGAGATTTTTTTTTCAATCCTGTTATTGCCATTCTTGGAGCACCTCCCTCCCTAAAAAAATGCCTGGAGACACTTTTTGGGGAGTGCAAAGGGAAGGCGGAATCAGTGAAAATCACATTGCCTCCAGTTTTCCATGGGACCATCCCAAAAGCAGAATGCCTCTCATGGGGAGTCTGGATCCAACCCATAGAAAGAAAGTAAATAATTGTTCTACCCTTACCATCAGTATGAATCTGCTTAAAGAATGACCCAGGTGCTGTTGTCTTGAAAGTTTTTATAGCAATACACCCAAAAGGAAAAATCATTGTATCTTTCGGGACAGTGTTTGAGCTAATGGAATATATGTCATATACTTTGCTTTAAATGTGCTATGAGGTCACTCAGCATGGAACTATGAATCTGATCATCGCACCATACTTTCTAGCAAGGAAAAAAATAGATTGCCTTTTTATATTTTAGTGAAGGTGCATAGTTCCTTCTCCAAACACTTTGACAGCTCCTAATACTGACTATACTGTACTATGTTCAGAGTAGACCCACTGAATCACGGGAACTTTGTAATTCAACACTTATGTAATTTTCACTGGTTTTATAAGTCCATTGTTATCTAATTTGATTGTATTTCTTTTTTGCTAATGGATTAAATATGTAATCTTGATCTTCAAATGAAATAAAAAGAACATGTATCTCTGTCTTTATATGAAGGAAGCCACAGGGAGGAGGGAGCAAGCTTGTTTTCTGCTTCCTTGGAGACTAGGACGCGGAACAATGGCTTCAAACTACAAGAGAGGAGATTCCATCCGAACATGAGGAAGAACTTCCTGACTGTGAGAGCCGTTCAGCAGTGGAACTCTCTGCCCCGGAGTGTGGTGGAGGCTCCTTCTTTGGAAGCTTTTAAACAGAGGCTGGATGGCCATCTGTCAGGGGTGATTTGAATGCAATATTCCTGCTTCTTGGCAGAGAGTTGGACTGGATGGCCCGTGAGGTCTCTTCCAACTCTTTGATTCTATGATTCTATGAATATATTTATGTATATCCATCTTAAGCTTAACTACATCCAACATTTGCATTATATGCAAATAGCTGTGAAGATACTTTACCTGTCTTCATTATTCCTTTTCAATAATATTTCATTGGTGTGTAAGCCAATATCAAGTAAGTTTAAGCTGTATTTCATTTACAGAGCATTATCTCACCAGAAGTGTATCTTATAGAAGCCTTGCTTCTGCATCACGGATTGCTAAGGCAACCATTCTTTAAGTGGAGAAGTACTATACTTTTTCAGCCTATTCATAGTTTCTTCTTAATGGCCTCTCAGAGTACTCTGCTCTCACTTGCTGTCGGCCACTGAATTCCATAAATAAATATACAACAGCTGAATGCGGCTCACTGAACATCACAGTTCAGAAGCTGCACCATGTCCAAAAGTTACCATGCTATTTAAGCCTCCGAATTTGGAGACAAAGAAAGTAGCAGGAAAATGCCTTTTGAAAGAGTGTGCTTTTATATTCAGGCTGATCGTGAGATGAAATGCAATGCACTTTACTTGTTTGTTTTCCAAGGGAAAGCAGGGAAAGATGGAGAGCATGTATGTTGACATTGTTTTGCCTTCCATTCACAAAAGTCTCCATTAGCATTTTCTTTGAACATGGTACAGTATATTCAGTATTAGGGGCTGTCAAAGTGTTTGGAGGAGTAGCTTTTTAACCACTATGCACCTTCACTAAAATATAAAATGGCAAACTATTTTTTTCCTTGCTAGAAAGTATGGTGTGTTGACCAGATCCAAAGTCCCATGATGAAAGTCCTCACAGCACATTTGGGAGGACTTGAAAACATGATGAAAATCCTTGTGCACATTGGAGTGGGAGGGTGGCTTTTTGAGTGGACGCAGAACATTAGAACTATGTAAGATTCAAACATGGAATGGCTCAGACAATGCTACTGGACAATGAGATCAACAGTGAAGACATTGGTTTCTATAAGTTTTAATAGTTTTTGTATGTATTTTATAATATTTGTTTTAAATGTTTTAATTGTATATGTAGATTGTTATGGCATCAAATTGCTGCCGGGCTGTAAGCCGCCTTGAGTTGCCTTTGGGCTGAGAAAGGCGGGTCAGAAATATGGTAAATAAATAATAAATAAATTCCCATGGAAGGAACATGAAGTGGGACCATGTATGTATAACCCCCACCTCACCCACATGCATACATATCTGCAACAGTGTTCAAAAAGTGGTGTTACATCATCATATAGAGTCGTGCCAGGGATATTTCTGATTCAGTTTGCAAAATGTTAAGACAGAATCTGTCCTTCATAGCTAAAGAGATGTGCAGCTCTTGCCTATACAAATGGCAAGAAAGAAAAACAAAAGACTATCTTTATAAGCGTAATTTTTCTAATCCACTTTGAATCCCTCCCCAGTCCCTAATAATTGTTAACAAATTACTAGCCTTAACTAGAAAGTAAGTTCCAATGATGTGAGGTTGTTAAGGAAAAGGTCTCTGGGGGCGGTGGGAGGGGGAATCACGTCTTCTGCTTGTTTAGTGATTAGCCTTCCCCCTTGCTTCTTTTTCCTCAAAAACAATTTAAGTCATTCACATTTGCTTCGTGTTTCCATCACATTCATAGATATAAATATAAATACAAAATATAGCCCACAGCCAGACAAGGGTGGAACAAATGAATATGCCATAAATATGTCTTTGTAATAAATTCGTTTCCATTTAGATACAGCTAGCAATTGCCTTTATATGGTTGTCTAAGGAACAATTTGCATAAAGCGATCCAGAGCAGATGCCAAACAGGGAAGAGGATTCACTACTGAGATGAAAGTGTGCATATTAAACTTTAGTGCAGACCCTCACAATTTAGCCCTGATGACAACTCATTTTCTTGGTTATTTATGCCCCAAAACATTGCTAATGAATCTCTTCACATACAGAAG